GGTTTTCTGTTGAAGAAAAACAATTAGGCAAATATATATTAACTAATCAATTAGGCATGTGCTAATTATTTTATAGATTAACCAATATAGGTTATCTAAATATCTTAAAAACATATATATATATATTAAGAATAAGAACATAACTTATAATTGTATTAATTTTATGTAACCACGTGGTCTTAAAATATTTGGATCCATTTTAATTTATTTTTAACTAGGAGTGCACTCTTCTATGTGACGTCACTTAATGTAACTGAAATAAAATCCTTGTTGAGTATACATATTTATTTTTTATAGTTAGGAATGAGAATAAGGATTTTTTGGTCATCACAGGAACATTGCCGGCTTTGTTCCTGTGGCGAGCAAATGCATCCTCATAACCTCCAAAATTAAAAGTAAAATATAAAGAAGCATGTTTGATCTCTCATCAATAGAACATTATTTAGTAACACAACTATAGAGAAAAGTCAGGTTATTTAACTCAGAACTAACTTAAATTTAGGGCTGCAACATAGAAAGCTGTGGAATTAAATTTTGTCTGAAAAAGATCTTTTGTTAGCATTTACAGGTAGGCATTCTTAAAAATACAGGCTCTGAACAGCTCCGCTAGAAATCTGAAACACAGTAGTACAGATTAGTGGCTGGAAGGCGGGACTAGAAGTCCTGTCTGAGTAACTGTGGAAGAACCAATCGGAAGCCCACGAAAGTGTGGGAGGTGGGACCAGGAAGCCTGCTCTTCCTGCCAGTCACCCCATTGTTACCATGGTGATGCAAACAACATGGAGTCTGCTGCCCATTTTCGGGGCAAAAGTTCCCCAAGTTTTCCTAGCCGATTGCATTTTGTTTGATTTTGTCTGCATTTTCCCCGCCTGGCCAAGATCTTACTGCGGTAGCAGCTTGTTCTGTCTCTGCGACCTGCGGTTGCAGCTCGTGTACATCCTGCACTTTTTTCTGTGGCACGTGGGTGCTCCAAAGGTTTTTTAGCAGCAAATGCTAGCATTACCATCAGATCTTAAGTTAGTCTGTGTTTGGCATTTAGGTCAAGTAATTCAAGGATTAAAAGCACTGTTGGCCGCAGGGGCTAGGACCCCATAGCGAGCAGCAGCGGCTAAAGTCTCTTGTCCCCAGCGGCTGAGTTACAGCCATTCTGATTCATAGGACAATCAAGTAGTAAAAAGGTCTGTACATACTTTCTGAGTATTGACAAAAACAATAGAAAATTGAAACTTATTTCTCTCCAGGTAAACATCACATTTTCTCTCCCTTTTTCTCACTCTCCTAGCACAAACTTCTAGAACATAAAGGCCAAAAAATATCTCTCTCTTTTTTTTTTTTTTTTAAGCTTTTTTTTTTTTTTTTTTTTTTTTTAATTAATTAGGTTCTAGTAAGAAAAGGTGGGAACAGGCACATTTTCTGGGCCAAAGGATTCATAATAATCTTTTAAACAGTCTCCTACTCTAAGCCATCTTTTACCATCAATGGTCCCTTCAAGGGGAAACCACGGACACAATTCTCCTATGTATGAAAAGAATAATTTTAAGTCCTTTTTCTTAACACGTGCCCCCCGTGTCTTGAGGGCCTCCTTGAGGCCTGACAAAAACAACTCATGTGACGAAACTGCTTGTCCCATGGTGGGTCACTCACCTTGCGTCGTCCTCACTCTCCTCCTGGATCTGTCTCTCGGTCGTGTCTGCCGAGGCGATCTCGCGCTCCCGCTTGGCCAAGTCTTCCCGGAGGACGGCGTTCCTTCTCAGTCAAAGGCTCAAGCCCCACACTGGGCGCCAAATGTCCCGTCCGGCAGGACACATCAACGTGGGCAGCGAACCTAGATGG